GGTTGGGCACTGCCCAGGCTCCCCAGGGCAGTGGGCACAGCCCCAAGGCTGCCAGAGCTCCAGGAGGGTTTGGATGATCCTCTGGGGCACAGGGGGGGACTCTGGGGCTGGGCCTGTGCAGGGCTGAGGTTGGACTGGATGATCCTTGTGGGTCCCTCCCAACTCAGCACGTTCTGGGACTCTGTGAGTCCTGGCTGAGCACATCCCGAGGCAGTGATGTGGGACACAGTCCCCGCGTTTCTCCACTGGGACAGCCCAGCACAGGGAGGGATTGGGATGCTGGGGACCACCAGGAATGCTGGGGACCATCAGGGATGCCGCCAGAGGGAAGGAGCGATCCCGGAGGTTGTTTTCTGTGCTGCAGCCACAGGATGGCAGAGCTCACCTGCGGATCAGCCGCTCCCAGCTCGGCACGGCCTGAATTCCACGGCAACCTTGAAAGGCAAAGCAGGAATTTATTGGGACTGTTCTTTATTTTATGACACGGAGTTCAATGCATTTAGTGACTTGTTTTTGGCACGGGCTGTGCAAGCTGGATGTATTTAGCCCCTTCACAGAAGTGTTGGGAGACTTAATTCGGTGCAGTGAACTTGGAGGTGATGTGTAAGTGGAGGGCTGGGGCTGTAAAACTCGGGCTGCAGCAGCACCTCAAACAGAGTCTGTGGTGGTGGGTGGATTAGGAAAGGCAAGGTTGCATCTGGAGAGACCCGTATTCCACCTGGAATTCTGCTCTGTGACTTCAGACCAGTCCCTGCTCCCTCCTTTGTGCCTCAGTTTCCCCAGCTGTAAAAAAACCAACACCACGGTGGTTCTGGGTTAATGGCTGGATCTAATCATCTTGAGGGTCTTTTGCAACCTTTATTATTCTGCAGTTCTGCCTCAGGCCACCCCAGGAAGGCCCCAAGGCATTGCTCCGGGGTGGTTCTGCAGCAGTGCCCAAAGTGCCCGTGCTTTGGGAGTGCCCCTGGCACAGGGCAGAGCTGGCACACAGCAAGGAGTCCCCCCCACTGGGGCAGTGTCTGTAGAGCCCTCACATCACCCGAGATGGCTCTGGGAGCCCAGCTCACCTCCCTCAGTGCTGCAGTGCCGGGAGATCCAACAGCACTGCTCTGGGTCGTGGAATGGGTTGGGCTGGGAGGGACCTTAAAGCTCATCCCATTCCATGCCATGGACAGGGACAGCTTCCATTGGAGCACCCCCACTCCTCCCTGCCCCCACCCCACCCAGAGCAGGATGCTGCTCCCCAAATTCCCACAGCAAGGGCAGGATGCTGGTACCCCTGTGTCCACAGAGCTTGGAGGGTCTGGCTGGGGATTTTAGGGAGCTGCTTAAGGGACATTTTAAACCCTGCACAACAACATCTACCCCAGACTGAACCTCCTCTTATTTGACTTAACACTACAATATACTATTTTAATGTATATCTATATATAATATATAAAATCATAGAGTGGTTTGGGGAGGAAGGGACCTTAAAGCCCATCTCATTCCACCCCCTGCCATGTGCAGGGACATCTCCTACTATCCCAGGTTACTCCAAGCCCCATCCAACACGGCCTTGGACACTTCCAGGGATGGGACAAGTGTACATATATAATATATATACATTATACACCATCCTGAGGGTGACAGAAAGCCCAAGGATGGTGTTCAGGTAATTACAGGAACCCTCTGCCAACACTCATAGCAAAACCCCCTCCAGCCACCCCATGGAAAACCAACCTGGTGCTCCCAAGAGCTGCAGAGGTCCATGGTCTGCCAGCACAGGAGACTCCTCTGGAGTGTGCACGGGATTTGCAGCAGCAGGGAAGGTGAAGTGCATCCAATGTCAGACTTTACAGCTCCAG